ACATACACAAACACACTTGAGATATCTCATCCACAACATAACATATATCTAGCTCATAATAGAAGCCCAAGAAATATTTATTCAATTAATTATAAAAGATAAAGGAACTCAAGAGTTAACACATTATATTGAGTTCTGCAAAGGCAAAAACAGTTTCTTGCTCATCATTATATTCTGAGTGTCTGGAATGAGAATAGTGGTTAATAAATGTTCACAAATTTTGTTGACTAGACTTTTTCATAAATAGTGCTACTTTTTTAAGGCATCAAAGCATTAGGATTATTATTCTGGAAGACCTGTGAGATGGCTTAGAGATGGGGTAAGTGCAAGTAGGCTCTTTCTATAGTCTAGGGAAGAAGTAATAGGACCCTGAGTAACAATATGAATGAGAATGAGACTGCAGAATATCAATCAGACATGGCAGCAGATTGGAAATAGGAGTAACACAGCTAAATAACAGATGTCTTAGATTCCTCATAATTGCTAGTCTCGCCTTTTTTTTTTTTTTTTTTGGCAGAGATGAGGTCTTGCTACGTTGCTCAGGTTGGCCTTGAAATCCTGGCCTGGCCAGAAGTGATTGTCACCCCTTAGCCTCCCAAAGTTTTGGGATTACAAGCATGAGCCACTGCACATGGTCAAGTCTTATAATTTCTAAAAATGGGTCTAAAACAGCTAAGTAAATAACACACATTTCCCTGTACAGTTGACCCTTGAAGAACATGGGGCTAGGGTCACCACCCCGCTATGCGGTTGAAAAATCTGTATGGCTTTTGTTGTTGTTTTTGAGACAGGGTCTCACTCTGTCACTCAGGCTGGAGTACAGTGTCATGATCTTGACTCACGGCAACCTTTGCCTTCCAGACTCAAGTGATCTTCCACCTCAGCTTCTTGAGTAGCTGGTACTACAGGTGTGTACCACCAAGCCCAGCTAATATTTTGTATTTTTTTGTAGAGATGGGGTTTCGCCATGTTGTCCAGGCTGGTCTCAAACTCCTGGACTCAAGTGATTGCCTGCCTTGGCCTCCCAAAGCGTTGGGATTATAGGCATAAGCCACCACACCTGGCTGACATATGACTTGACTCCCAAGAAACTTAGGTACTGATACACTACTTTTGACTGGAAGCCTTATTTATAACATAAGCAGTTGATTAGTACATGTATTGTATATTATATATATTACATACTGTATTCTTACAGTAAAGTAAGCTAGAGAAAAAATGTTATTAAGAAAATCATAAGGAAGAGAAAATATATTTACTATTGATTAAGTGGAAGTGGATTATCACAAAAACCTTTATCTTTATCGTCTTCACCTTGAGTAGGCTGAGGAAGAGGAGTGGTTGGTCCTCCTGTCTCAGGGATGCCAGAGGTAGAAGAAGTAGAGAAGGTGGAAGGAAAAGCAGTAATATTCAGCGTAGCTTTTTACTGAAAAAAGTCTGCCTGTAAGTGGACCTGCATAGTTCAAAACCATATTATTCAAGGGTCAACAGTATACTTACGACCAAATAAGTAAATAATATAAAGTGAAAACATATGTTTTATTTTTTAATAGTTTTTCATGGGACATCCCCCTTACTCTCATTTTTTTTCCTCCCAATTCCTCTGTTATCACATCATCAACTTCCATTCATCCTTGCAGTTCAGCCCAGGCATTGGATCTTATGACCAGGAGGATTTTGTGATTGCAGTTGGAGCACTGTGTCCCCAGCGTGCCTCCACTTTCTCTTTTTCATGGCATGGTAAACATGGCTTTACATCTGCAGCTCCTGTTAAACCACAAGCTGCTTGAGAGCACAGACCACAGACCACTTCTGTGCTTCTAGTACCTGGCACTGGGCCTGTCACATATATGTTGTTTTTTAATGGAAATGCTAGAGCTTAATCAGTTAAAATCTAAATACATATTAAAATAGAATTATTTGATATTTGTGAATGATGGAAGCCTAAAAGGAAATCAAATTGTTCCTCAATTTCTTCAATTCTGTGTTTTGTTTGAGAAGTCAAAGAAATACCAGCTTTCTGTTGCAAGTGGTTTTCTAACTGACATTGAAAAACAAGAATTCATTTTCTCAGGCTTGGCCTGAAAACTTACGAAGAGAACTAAGTACAAGTTATCTGAAGACTATTTGCTTTTCTTTCAAGGAGGGAAAAAACACAGTTGCCCCAACTTACTTTTTTTTTTTTTTTTTTTTTAAATACTCAGAGCTCATTGCCTGTGAGCTGAGAAAATTGTACCTTTGAGAATCAGGTTTAAGTGTTACTGTAAAAGGAGAGAACTTCACTTTTGACTTACTGAGGACTATTTCTCAAAGGATTTTTAAAGTTCTCTTAGAAAAGGGAAAGGAAAACTGGTATTTGAAGTTTTTATTCAGGAAAGGATCTTCGTTCCATTTTACCAGTTGTTTTGGTAACCTAAGGATATAGCTTTGAGTTCTCAGGTTCTTTAATGGTTGATTAAAGCAAGGTGTACATTCCTCTGTAATTACTTTTTTTTAAATGTGATCGATGAGACATTTTTCACCAGGTGTTAATTCTCTGTGATCTTTAATAAAGGAGAAATTCGATCTTATCTTTCATTTTCTAGGAAGAAAGTATAATCCAGAAAAAAAAACACTCAGTTACCTAACCCTAAAGTGCTGGGTAGATAAACAAGATGAGGTTGTATAACATGGATAGCATCTTATGATCAGGATAAGCCACACCATCTTGTGGCATGCTCAGATTTATGTTTTAGATAACATTAATTGAGGTCATTCTGAACAGGCGGTGTGGAACACGAGAAGGATACCAATCATGACATCACCTAAGATGGTGACAAGACCTGGAAAGAAAGATCAAATCAAGCATAGAAGTTTTCATCAATGTAAGGAACCAAACAGAGTATTGGTAGATGACTTGAAGAGCAAATGAAGAAATTTGGGAAAATGTTGTTGAGCCGGTTGAATTCTGACCTCATCTCTTAGCTCTGTGGTAGCAGGATATGGAAAGGATAAGCAGTCTCCACTTGGGAGGAATAATGGAAAATGGTGTCTATAGGGGAGCCAGGTTTCAGTAAAGGGTGCATTAAGTGAAAGGATGTTACCATGGAACAAGGTCCAAAAAGTTATGTATGTCATGTTTCTCAGTCTTTTTGAATTCAACTCTATATCCCTTTTTGAGATTATTCATTGATAAAATATTTATTGAGCATCTATTATTTGCCAGGCACAGCACTAGCTATCAAAGTGTACACGGATGAGTGCATAAGTTCTTAAAAATGGACAAGATATGTACTAATCATGTTGTATATATATTAGAGTTATATGAAGTATTTAGGAGTAGGTGGCTATATGGAGTTTTCAAGTTTTACAGGCTTCGCGAGTAGAACTTAGCCTGCTCATTGACTCAAACAAAGATGAAAATTGGTCCAAATAGAGATCTATTCTGTAGATATCAAAAATTTCCTGCCATAGTCTCCTATTATAATAGGACATAAAAGTAAGATGAGATCTCTGCAGTGGCAAGGGGGTTTTCTAACTTTCACGTCATTCTAATTTGGGACCTAGGATAATACATTTATAGTTACCTTTTTTATTCATTGGTTATTCATTCATTATATTACTGAGTATGCCAGCACTCTACTACATGCTAAGAATATAATAGAAGATAGGTAGGTAGGATTCTTGGTCTCATGAAGTCTGTATTCTATAAAAGTAGTCATTTTTGAGAACTAACTCTCTGTTAGGTACTTACATGTATCTGTAATCCTCTGAAAACCCTGCTAGGTACAGGATAATAATATCTGGCTTTATAAATGTGAAAAATCAAGACTGTGGGAAATTAATTGGAATTAGCTGACTTCAGCTTTCCCAAAGGAATGTTGTTGTCAAATACATGCAACACACCATGCTGCCTGCTGCCTTCCAACATATACTGAAGGCTACTGTGTCAAGCAGAGTTTTGTGTTAGGTGTTAACGTAAGGGTAGATAGAAAAGAAACGATTCCTGGTTCTCAGAGAGCTTACAGTTTATCATATCACAAAATCAATACTAAAACGTTAATAGAAAAATGAAGAAAAGAAAAGAACAATTTACACTAAAAAATTCAAATAGCTAATAAATGAGAAACATTCTATTTTACTTACAAAGAAATGAAAGTTAAAATAATGAGATACCATTTTCACCCATCCAGATAGAATGTGTTTTTTGACGGTAATATTCAATGTATAGGTGTAGCGATCTCTCTCTAGTGCTGCTATTAGAAGCATATTTCTTTGAACATCTATTGTGGAAAACAAACAGTATTTATCAAGAGCCTTGTAATGTTTATGCCCTTTAACTATGTGATCGTATTTCTAGGTGTCTGTAGTCAAGAAATGGCTAAAACTCACATCACATCATTTTCAAAAAGGCTTACCACATTCTTTTTTGTATCAGGGAAAATTTGAATATAAATAAAGTCCAGTCTAGATGACATAATGTTATACTGCCATTCTCAATAAATATTAGATTTGAAAAAACAATGTAAAACTTTTTATGGAATATTCTCACTGTGAAAACTAGGTATATGAATTAATAAATACATTAATTCAGACTTCATTAATAAGCTTAAAAGAAAAATATTGAGAGCAGTTATTTCTAGTTATATAGAGGTGATCTGTATTTGTAACCTCATACATTTTACAAAATGCCTAAAATGAGCGATTACGATTATGCTTTTTGTAATAAGGAAGTACAAATTCCCATTCTTTTTTACCCTCTTCTTTGACCCCTACATTTGGGATGAAAATGGAGGTAGGACAGAGATTAGCAAGAGGTGATTCCCAATTTTGAGGGCTGTTCTTAAAAAACTGAAAGCACATTTATTTCCCTAGAAAAACATATTATTTATTTGATTTATTTTATATTTATAAAGCTAATATGAGACATAGTCAAATTTATATCTTATAAGCTCTTGGTATATTTCATTCATTTCATTTCAGTACACACAGATATAACCATAGTACTTATTTCTTTACAGGTTTTACAACTGCCTACAGCATGCATTGGAAAGGGAAACTATGACTAACTTACATCCCAAGATCAAAGAGAAAAATAACTCATCATATACTTATAAGAAACAAAGAAACCAAGAAAAAGCACGTAGCCAGTGTATTACTAAAGAAAATGTCAAAGAACTTGAAAATGATGATGATGATGTAGGGATCAATATTACCATCTTCCCTGAAGACTACTGAGTTTTAGTTCTGGCATGTCTTGGTTGTAATATTTCTAGTAGGTCTTATAAAGCTCCTCTTTATAAGAGTATTTTAGTTAGTTGAGTGTATCAGCCATTCAGAAAAATAAGATGTAATTTCTCTACATTTTAGAGAAACCTATCTTATAAAAATAGATAGTTTTTAAAAATAGCTTCGTGTGTTTGCTCATTGAATACTGCCTGTTTTAGTCATGTAGAGATTCATTGCAAAAATAAAACTGATTTTTTAATGCCTCTCTCTTTTTATTTCTTTCAATTTCTACTTCTGCAAAACAGGAAAACTAAGTATACCTTTTCAAGAAACCTTAACATCAGAGATGTTTAAATAAAAATCATAGTAACATTTTATTTACTATTAACTTTGAAACCTCCAGCCTTTAAAGGAGGGGTCAAAGTTTGCTTCTGTTGCCATGGAGTCCAGTGAGAAATTTTTCCTCCCTTTGGACCTTGTGGATTAAACAACTGATACCTTTTTGTTCAGGACAAAATATCTGAACCCTCTCTCCCCAGTATTTTTCACAAAGTAGAGCCTGCCACTGACACAGTCTCTGTGAAACACATGGGCATAGTTTTCACTAAGCCTGATCAGAAATGACTACTAAGACCAAGCATCCTAATAGAACAAATTTGCTATGGAAAATTGTGAGGATCAAAAGCCTTTGGTTTGAATTCTAGCTTGTACATGGAAGTTAGAGGTCCTTGAGCAAATCATTTAATTTCCTAGGCTTCTATTTCCTCTTCTGCATAATAGTAATTCTATTGCCTACCTTATAGGAGTGTTGCCACTATCAAGTTTTAAAATGTGAAAGCATTTATTAATAAATCATTATGTATATGCTACTATTTTATGTTTTCAGAATGTACCAAGTCATATAAATATATATTTAAAGAGAAATTATTAAGTAGTCATATAACATAATTATAAAAATACCAGAGTGTCAAAAATTATATAAGGTAGTGAACATTATTTTGGGCATTTCCTAATAATGTTATAGTTTATCTAAGTTAATGTTATAGAAATTAGATTTGCCCCCCATTGGCTTGACTTCTAATAGGTATGAGTTGGTATTCTCATTTTCAAAATAGGTAGAATTCATGGACATCTGTTGTCCTCTAAATAAAATGAGAGATGGTGTCTAGGTAGCTCTGAAGCTATTGTAAGGTTGTTGTTTTTTTTCTTATCATTGTTCTGAACTGCTGTCTTTGGGGCCTATAAAATAAGATGCTGATATTTACTGACCCAATTTCTTGTAGTGTTCCCACAACATTTAGGACATCTTCAAACACAGGTCTTTGTTTCATTGTTTGAGAAACAACTTTCCCTGAGTCCTCAATCTCCTTGCTATTCTGCAGCATGTGGTGCTGTCAAGGGCTTCCTGAATGCTGTCTTCTGAATCACTTCCCTGTTTATGGCAAATCCTTGCTTCTTTTTCCCTCCAATACTTTAACAGTTTTTAACATTTATTGCATCTTGAAAAAAATACAAAAAGGACCCAGAACTCTCCAGGAAGAGACACTAGGTATTCTCTATATATACATACATATATTTATATATAAAAGGTCAGAAGTTTTTCTAATTGTAAACCAAAGGGTAATAACTTTGTAGGCATTACCAGATATCTGTCTTTGGCCTTCGTCTTGCATTTCTTACTTCACCCCAGCCATCACATTAATTCCAGTAGACTTAACCCATCAGACAGTGATTCCCAGCCTTCTTTCCCTGACCTGCCTCCTCAGCTTTGGCTAACTGCTGGATCTCTCCAGTAGATCTGTTATTTGAAAAAATTTTTCTCTCTCGTTAGACTTCTCCCTTCCTGATTCTTTGGCCTTAGAGTGCAGTCCTTGGTTAGGACTTTTTTTTTTTTTTTTTTGTCTGAGCCCACTGACACTTTCTGGTTGCTGGCTTTTTCAGTGCCTATGCAAGGAGGAAAAGCAAGCCAGAACAAAACAGGAAACTTGCCACTTTGTCCTTCAGATCCCCCAAATCCCCATCTCGTCCACTTTCTTCTCTCTACCTGCCAGTGTTTGTTTTATATATAATGTTTAAATAGAAGGAATAGAGAAAGTATGCCTATTCCATTTTCCCAGAATCAGAAGTCTAATTTTAAGTAAGTATTGATAATATATCAAATTGTTGGGGTACATTGTGAGGACACCCTTGCAAAGCCATTCAGATGGCCATGTATTCCTCATACCAATGCTGTGCCCATCTTCCAGCCTGTGTGCTTTGCTGCTCTTGCTTCAGGCTCCTGGATCCTCTCCACTCTAAAGGAGAGAAGGAAATGCCTGGAAGCCTGTTTCCTGCACCCCCTGCCAACCACCACACATACTCACACTCCTTGTCTCATAGCCAGTAATGACAAGTGCAGAGCTTCAAACTATGTTGCCCAGAAATGGGATAAACTTGGATGTGCAATTGCCATCTAAGCTCTCAGCAGTACCTGGCTTATCCTGGGATTTCACCTGAAATTCTATGGTTATCCTTACTTTTTTACCAGTTTCTCCCACAAGCACCTGCTTAATAAATCAAGATGTTTGAATAATGTCTTATTCTGAAGGAACCTGACCTAAGACAGGTATTTAGATTATTTTGGATACATTTTGAAAAGGGATTACATAAATATTTTAAGTAAAAAGACCTTTATATAATAGTTGATATTTTAATGCTGGAAATTAACATTATAGTTGATATGCCAGAAATTTTATCTGGTTGTGATTTAAACTTATGCTATAAATTAAATTAATAATATAAATACATAGTTTTAAAAATTCTTTTAGGGATATGTAACAACTTTTAAGTTTCACTTCTATAACACATATTGTTACAGGAACAAAGATGTGGGAATAATTGATTACAGGTGAGGAAGTACTAGAAGTCCAATTCAGGGAGATACCATTTCATTTAGATCTAAAAGGACAAGATACAAGTTCACATGATGGCAGAAGTTGCTCTGGGTGAGTTACTGATTGAACTTCCGGTACTGCAAGCTTCATTCATGGTATGTGCCCTATTCAGGTGTCCTATTTTTTCACCTGTTATAATGGGTAAAAAGGTACAACTATATCTTAGTTGTATCTTTTCTATGTTTAGTAGTAATTTAATACACACAATAACCTTCCTATTGAGAATGGCTTTATATTTGTTTTCATTGTAGTGCAGCCATCCAAAATAAAAGGAATTTTTTTTTCCCTCCTCCAGGATGAAGGCAAGCATTTATTCCTAAGGTCTGGATTCTCCACATCACCTACAAGTTAACTGCTTTTGTGTTCTAACAGAGAGAGGAAAAATACAGTTGTCAACCTTATTGAAAACAAGGAGGGAAACTAAGAAACATGTGCTTTTGCTTGTTCTAAGCCAGAAGTCATAAACTATAACTTGACCAAGCTGTGGCCAATCAGATGTTTTGTTTGGCCCATACAGAGGATATTCTTCCTAATTGAATCAATGTTTTAAAATATGATGATTTCATATTTAAAAATAAAAGGTGCATCTCTAGTTTGTTTTGTGTGTGTGTTTTTAATTGGAAGATCTGGCTAACACTGTCTCACATTCCCACAGGACAACACTTAGCCAGTCAAGTACTAGCTGCTCTTTTTAGACTTGTTTTCCTATTCACTACAGACCTCGCCCCCACTACGGGCTCACGGATACAACTGCTTCAATCATTTACGCATCATTGGTCCCTGTGGCAAACTTTGGGTAGATCTTTGAGGGAGAATTAAACTCTATTATTATGTTAGTATATTATATAATAAATAAGAGATTAGAGAAGGACCAGCTATATAATCTGCAAAGGACAGTTCAAAGTGAAAACATGGGACCCCATAAAAGCTTTAAGAATTACAAGATGGCATCAGCAAAGCACTAAATCAAGTACAGGTACATTTAAGCATGGGGCCCTATGCAAACTGCACAGGTCACACATACGTGAGGCTTGGTGTTTTAGAAGGAATGGGTGTTTTCTTACTAAACTGAGTGTTTAACCCTCCTTCCCACATTGAGCCGTGACGTGCCAGGACTTGACACCTGCTCACATGTGACGCCCTTGGGTTCCAGGACTATGAGTGGCTGTTTGGAAGCCTGCAAGGTTGGAAGTTTTGGAAGCTAAGGCAAAGGTCTCAGTGGCTAACCTTAGATGGAGTAAAACAAAGTCCTTTTCAGAGCCACTTGATTTCAAATGTGAGCAAAGGCAGTGATGAGCACCACATTTTGGAAACAAGGGATTTCTCCATTTTGAGAGGAGTTACCTGATTTCCTGGGTTAAGTGCTGAAGAACGCTGAAAAATGATCACCATCGTTTTTCCTATAGATGGGTCCTTCGGCAGGATTTAATTTGATTGAAGTTGGGGGGAGTAAATATTGTGCTCCCATATAAGGTGTGGGAGCATATAATAATGACTATTTTTTGGTTAGAATTTTTGGCCTTTAAAAATGGGCTTTGACCTTCAAGACTCTTCTTTCCATTCTCTACTGTGCTTCTGTCAACATGCAGGCTTCTCTAATGCAAAAGGATTTTAATACTCATAAATGCTAAAGTTTTTAAACCTAACAGTCCTTTAACATCCTGGGTGTTTTTGCTTTCTATCCTTGCTAGGCATGTATCTCTCAGCCTGTTTTGGTTTTGCCTTTAATGTGGTTGAATTTCAACTATAATTATAACTCACCATACATTTTATTTAAATATTCATTTATTTTAATACCATTTTTGGAGCAGTTTTAGGTTTACATAAAAATTGAGAGAAAAAGCTCAGCTCGATTCCATATACCGCCTTCATCGGCCCACACACAATTTCCTGTTATCTTATATTTTCTACATCTTACAATAGTGTGGAACTTTTTTTTTTTTACAAGTGATGAGGCAATATTGACATTTCTTGATTTAAGTCCATAGGTTTTGCCTCTCTTCATCTCTCCTCAATTCTGTTCTCTCCTTCTGGAACTATTAGTCTATTAGTCATATATTATACCTACTTATGGGTGTATTCTCCATATTGTCATGTTTTTTCATCCCCCTTCACCAAACTTCTCTTCATCTTTATGTGCGTCATTCTGTGTCATTGTTTGGTTAATTCACACTCTCTTGACCTGTGTCTAATCTACTGCCCAGCCAGTCCACTGAGTTTTACATTTCAAAGGTTATATTTTATTACTTCTAGTTCTTTGTGGTTCCTTTTCAAATAAAGGCAGATTATTTAAAGGTTCAAATAATTATTTATTTTTCTATATACCTTTT